AATTAGATGATACTCCTAGAGCATCACCATTAATGATGGTCTAAAAGTCTCTCATGGATATCTCATTTGAGAGATTGTTATGGGTCTCTCATTTTCTTTCTACTTTTTTATATTTTTAATATTAGTTTAACGTGGATATCTCAATGAGATATTTTATTAGAGATGCTCTTAGCTTTTGATAAGGTTCATTGTTACTTTTATTTTATGTTATGGTCAACTAAAAAGAAGCTACATGCTGTTGTTAATTTCTTGTATGAATTATGTGCATTCGTAGTCTCCTCTATAAATATGATGATGTACTTTTGACAAGTCATGTACGACAAAATAAAACCTGGTAGTAGTCATTCCAAAAAAGAAAGAAGACAACACATTTGTTTTTGCCGGCGTAATTAGATCATATAATGGCTTATACTAACAAAGTTCCGGCCGCAGTAGCGGTGCCGTTTCTAATGCTTACGTTCGCTCCTTGGTGAACCGAAGCACAAATGCCAAAGTTGAATCCAGTTTGCGCTATGGTGAATATCCCTAACACGGTGCAACTTTGCTATTTATCGGGTAATTTGGTGCTATCTGATGAATGCTGCAACGATCTCCAATCCGCGAGGACGAGAAAAGTGACTTGTCTCTGCGACAATATCATTGCGCATCCTTCGAATGCTAGTTTCACCCAAGCTCTCTTTGACGCAGTCCACACGGTTTGTGACGTTCTTGATAAATTCGCCTGTACAGGTATTTAGAGTTTTAATCTTGTGATTTAATTATTATGATTATCGCCATTTAATTTTGTAGATTTTATGGTAATTATTGATTTTTTTTTTGGCGCAAAGAAAATGCCAACGGAGGAGCAGCGAACACTATTGCTATATCAACGGGTCTATTTGGTTTGGTTGCAAGTCTATTTTTTTTAATGAGGTATTTACATAAAAGTCATAAAAACATGTTTCTATCTACAAAAATGTCACAACTCACTTTCGGTAGACAAATATGTCACATGGCCATATTCTCGGACGATAATGCCCTTACTTTGTGTTTGTTGAAGTTGCATAAATAATGCACCTCACTTTATGTCTAATAAAATTTTATTTAATTCACCTGCTTTACGTCAGATTTTGTGCATTTAATGCACTTGCTTTAAGTCATATTTTGTGCATTTAATGCATTTGCATTATGTGTTGGAGTTACATTTAGTGCGTAAACACATTGTATATGTCAAATTTGCACGTACATGAATATTATGTACACTAAATGAAACGACCCGACCCAAAAATTTAAAAATTTCCCTTCAGATTATTATCATCACAGATAATAATCCTCAATTGGATCAATACAACGTGCGGAAAACATAAAACAATTAAACCAACTCAATCAATTCAATGATCCCATACTTATTAAATCTAGCCGGTTCAATTCAACAATCCAAACAATAACCAATAACCAATAAACCAATTAACTACAACTCAGAATTCACTAGCAACCTAGCAATTCTACAACAGCATACAGC